GGGTCGAGAGTTCGACTCCAGCCGGATCAACACTCAGTGTCTTTAAATAACTGAGAAGAAAGTGCTGCCTTTATAATAATATCTGCAAATGGTTAGATTTTCTAGTCTTCTCGGAAAGGGACGATAAATGGAGGTCCCGTCTCACAAGCTCTTATATGCAATAGAAATTGTGGGACGTTAAAAAACCGACACACTCTTCGAAAAGAGTAGGGCACGTAGTGCCCGGTGTTGTGGTCTATCTTTGTGTTGTGTCTAATCTAAGGTAAATTGGGGAGGGAAGGTGAGATCAATACATGGACTGAAGTGGCTGCATATTGCGCCTGATGACTTCTGACGTCCGATCTCACCTTAACTGATTGTAAAGCGCGACTAATTATCTATATAGTAGTTTGCGCTATGTAAATGTCTAATTGTTGTTGTTGTTGTTGTTGTTACGACAAAACAAGGAGTAATAATTTTACCTTCTACTTTTCTACCCTGAGAATTGGCGAGACCGGATGCGGAAGCTCCTTCCAGCAGCTCACTGGAGTGGTACTACATTGGCGGACCTGTGGCTGCTGTCGTTTTCCTCCTGGCTCTTATAGCATACATTGTTAAGCGCCGTGCGACAGGTAAAAGGAATTTTGCGGAGGTGCCATAGGTTACCTAAACAAAATGATTTGGAACGGCAAATTGCGGCTTTTATATGTCATTGTTTAGGATTATAAGAGAGCTATTTTTAGCAGGTCACATTCTGCATTTCCAAAACTGACATCAAAGGCCACTTTTTACTCCCCGCAATCCCATTAGTTAACCAAATCACAGAAAATGTTTTAAATTATATTCAGATAGTCAGCATAGCAACCCACCTTATTCCTTATTAGTTTTAGTCAAAGTCTAATATAAGTTGCAAGTGACTTCTGAACCGAGTCATAAGTTTTGACTGAGTGAAAGAGGTCATTCTTGCTCACTATTAAGCGATTTCTTCCATCAATAGTCTTGCAAGAGGTGCCTACCAGGTCAAGGTAAGTAGATTTTCTTTGTTGAATACCTACTGTTTGAGTATATGTTTATACCCGAAATTTCCAACTCTTGAATAAGTCTGAGAAGAGAATTGTTAAGCGCCACCGCTGAGAAAGTTACGTCGCTTTTCAGCTTGGACCTTTTATATTCGTGATAATGAATACACAGCTTAGACTTATCATAGTCATCATTATGAATACACAGGCCGAAAAAGGTTTTTCCTTTCGAAGCAGTTACATTTTACGAATCGGCTCTCATGAAATGGCTGTGAAATTTTTGTTGTTGTTAATGTTGTCGTTGTTTTTCTGTTTTGGTTTGATATTTCCTTGACTTGTTTTGACACCTTATTTAGTATTTGTTTGTTTGTTTTTTTTTTATTTATTCTTGACCAGCATGCTGGGTGGCATACTTGTAAGGAAGAGTGAAAGTTTGGGGGTCTTCGCCACTCAGAAAATTGCTGTTGAAATAAGCAACATCCGGAGTCATGTAGACCAATTTCAAATAATACTTAATAATTCGATTATAGGCCGATCCCTACTTGTAGACAGCACTTCGGTTGGTGTTGGTTAGTAATTCATTTTCCGCGTATTAGGCAGGCACGGAAGAAGTATGATATTAAAAAGACTTAAAATGCAAAACAACAAGTCTGCACCAGGTTATCTCCAAATACCGCGTGCGAGGTTCATTCAGTGCTTTTTGAGAATTGAATCGTTGGTTCTGGGATAACGTGTCACGGGTTTAGTAAAGTAGCATCCAAATTTCACTATCTCAACAACTTTTTTACAGGCAAATGGGAACTTTCTGACGCACTTAACATAAATTCTCTCACAGACACTCGTATAGATGCCTTTTTAAATAATGATACAATTAAATGCAATGAAATAAGAAAGCAAGACAATATTAATGCAACTTTAGTTGAAACTTGAAGACACAGAGTACAATAAACTAGACTCAGATATACAACAGCTGACAGGTAAGTCAACCTCGTTTCCATTATTCCCAGCCGGGAACGAGGTTGACAGATAGGTAACAAGCGTAGTTAAATTAGAGTCGTGTTTTCAACTGCACTTATTCAGTGAAGAGCATGATGAAGTTGAGTTGGGTCAGCTGAATACAAATACAGATGGATGGGAGATTGCAGTTGACCGCCTAAACCTTCGCGAGGCTATTGGCAGAGGGGCATTTGGCTCAGTGTGGCGAGCGCTATTGGGTCGGTCCCGTGGCAGACCTGGTAATCGTACAGTTGCTGCTAAGTGCTGCCTACGTAAGTTCATGTTAAAACCTTTCGTTAATTGAAACTTGATTGAACTATCCTCAACAATGCGAGCGCGCACTGTGTATAAGTTATGTTATGAAAGCGTATAACGGCCGAAAATACTAAAATGATTAAGTCTTACTTTACTTTCATGCCATCTCCGATCACGTGTTGTCCACGTGCGGCGGAGGTCGTTGGTCAATATTTGCAGGAAAATTCCTCCTGACGTCTAATATTTTGCGAACTTACCCTCTGAGAGAAGTTTAACGGAAAGCTTTGTTATGTGACCTCAAAGAGGCCAAGAGAGCATTTAGGCCAAATGTCCCCATATGACATATATATCAAGTACGACTTAACGTAAAGGTGTACTACCTTATTTCGTAAATTAAATTTCGGACCAGTTATAGGTCGTAAAAGCGAAGCAAAACAGATTAATAAAAAGGAAACCATTAAAAAAAACAGCGACAATAACAACAAACAAGCCAAACAATAAAACAAAATAAGTGAACAAAGATGGAGCACGGTGAACAATTGCTAACTGTTCTAGTACTTACTATGACATTTCGACCTTCGGTCTTCTTCCTTTGGAAAAAACTGAAAATCATGGTAACGAACCTACAGAGTTCCTTAAACTTGCTATGAATCTTGGACGAAGTCATTTATAATATAATAAAATTAAACAAAGGATTGCGTAGCATTTGGACAGTAGAGAACAGTTTTGTTTTTTGTTGTTGTTGCTGTTGTTTTTTTGGTGACGATGAATCTAGTTAAGTAGATATCATGTTCAATACAAATGAACAGAAACACCAACCCACTATTTTCTTTGCAAATGTGAATGAGTTTTTGTTAAGATATGTAGATCATATGCAATGTAACGCGTGTTGATTATTAAACACCAAATATACAACAGTCGTAGATGAGTATGTTAGCCACAAAATAAATTGTCTCTATAGATACATCATTGCATTGTTTTTTTTCTGTGGTTTTCTAGCAATCTCTGGGGAGCAAGGAAGGCAGGCCCTGCTGAGAGAGATCGATTTATTGAAACTGTTTGGAAGGATGGGCCATGAAAATGTCGTTAAATTCATCGGCTGTGTTACAGTTGGAGGTACTCAGCTATTGTTATGATTGTAATCAGCTAAGTCACAGTATGGATAAAGGCATCTCTAAGGTGAACCGTTGGTAAAATTTAGTTCAAATTGTATGCAGTTTTTTTTTTTTTCTGGCGTTGTTACATTTACATGCTAATTGTGATAAAAGCATCGATTTAGGATGACAAGTCTCTTTCTATTTATCTCCCTTTTTTATTTGTATGTCTTTCCGTTTTTCTGTCTGTCCGTAGTTCTCTATCTGCCACATCTGTGTCCCTGTCTTCGTATTTCTATCCTGATTCCTTTCTTTTTCCCCCTCTGTCTCTTCTTTGGTTAATAACAGATGCAACCTAATATATAACTAAATTAAGCATGTACAATTCAGAACCGTTTTTAGAATTTGGAACGTCTTCTGTTCTTCCCTTGCTTATAATGATTTGCAAACGCTTTTTTGAACTTATTTAGCTCAGCCAATACTTATCATGGAATACCTGTGGCGAGGTGACTTGCTGGGTTATCTAAGGAAATCCAGGGGGGTTTTCGACCACTATCATCGTGGGGTCGGAAGGGTCGACCACTTGACAACATATGACATGGTGTTGTTCGCTAAACAGATCGCACATGGTATGACTTTTCTCGCCTCTAGAGGGGTAAGTGCTCATCCTCTTCTTGCATTTCGCAAATCGATCACCATACGACTAAAAATATTGAGCAGATTGGAACACTAACTTACACGAATATGGTCTAAAACAAACCTTTGCTTTCTTTATTCTTCTTTGATGTGAATTGCTTGTTCTATATTTATTTCGTTACTGGCCCTTCGCATCATTTATTTCCTTTTTTCAATGTCAGATAATTCATCGCGATCTTGCAGCTCGCAACATCCTCCTCGATGAGCATCGTGTATGCAAGTTGACTGATTTTGGGCTCTCTTATCAAGATTTCAAATACGGCCCAGGGAATGCCAAGAAGGTAATTTTCAGAATTTTTAATCACTTGCTCAGCGAGTTGTTATTTGACTGTTGAAATTGCCAAATTCATCACACACCATAATGTGAGGTTAGCTTGCTATAGATGCATGTAAATCTAAGGTATAGGCGAGAGATATGTGTTGGGCTGTTGGTATGAAAGATTCAAACTGGGAAAAATTAAACGAAATATGAGCGTATGCCAGTTAATGACGTCAACTAGGCACGCTCTCTTTTTTGAGACCCATAACAAAACTTGAACTGTCCTTACGAACCTTACATCGTTTTATACAGTTTTAACGCAAAACATGTTTCCCCGATCGGAATCCCATTCTAAGCGTCTCGAACTTTTCATCCAAACAAAAACATATTGTACACTGTACCTAAGGAGTGAACGCAGGAAATAAGAAAAACCGAGTGTATAATGTTCTTTTAAGAGCAAGAATACAAACTCAAACATGTCGAAGGGCAGGGTAACCAGGAGATGTAAAGAAAAAGGAGCCCGTGATTTGTACCAAAAAAAAAAAACCTACAAACGCGTGTACTGCTCTTGAATTTATCGTAACATCTCACAACTTTGGGGAAAAAGGTTTTAAATCTTTATGCAAAATATTTTAAGTTGTACTAAAGTTTCCCGAGATTTCAAAAGCTTATAGTATTATGGCTACTCATGTAGGGATGTATTCCAATCAAATGGAGTGCACCCGAGATTCTTTTTGGTCATGTGGAACAGCTGTCAACCAAAAGTGATGTGTACGTACTGCATTTGCTATTATATGTATTCTAAGTGTCAACCTGTTTATGATGCTCCCTTAACGAATTAAAGGGATTAGAATAATCAGTGCTTTATTGATCAGAGTGTCTTTAGGAGAAGTCGAGCCGGGGAGTCTAAGGGTAGAGCTGCCGTATAAGATTAGATTAGTAATAAGTTTAACAGGCAACGTTTAAAACTTGAGTAGGCAAAAAAAAAGGGATAAAAAGATGAATAAATGATGAAATGAATAACTATGGAGTTTTTACCTTCAAGGCATTGTTTATATCTCGATAAATATGTTTTTAAACATTTGAAGTATCGGAGTTAAAGATTATTTTTCTACTCCAATTGACATGAATCATCATCCCTCTATTTCTTCCACAGGTGGTCTTATGGCATAGTCCTGTTTGAAATCTTCACAATCGGTATACTCAGTTCACTTATTTACTACTTTACTTTTAGAAAATATATTCGCCGAAATTGTTTGCACAATTACCAACTGAAGGTTATACCATGAGCAGATACAAAAACATTGTATGATAGACAAGTAGTGGCAATACTCAATGTCGCTGATGAATAAAGCATTTATCCGCATTATTTAAAAACCTTTCTCCTTGCATTTTTTTTTTTTTTTTTTTTTTTTTTTTTTTTCGATGATGATGACTATAGATTTTGGACAATGAAATCACTCTGGAATAGAAGTAACTGCAACAATAAGTTAAGCTCTTTTAGTGAATAGAAAAAGTATTATTTGTCCACAGGAGGCATTCCATACGAAGGATGGTCTGAAACCAGAACAATGAGAGAAATCCAACGAGGTTACCGTTTGCCAAAGCCTGAACATATCGAAGACAGTTTGTAAGCTCGGCTTCTTCTATGTAATACTGAACATGGATTGTACAAAGTAAATATAACGTTATATAAATAAAGTGCGATACGATAGCTATCCTAGTCAGGTTTGTTGTGGCTTGCATTAATTTTATCAGATGATGAAAAAGTAATAAAGACAGTGGCGATGATATGAGTACTTCGTGAACCTTAAAATCTATTTAGAATGAATAAATAGCCTTCCTAACAAGTTTATCCTATCAATAAAACCAAAGAAAACAAACCAAACCGAACCTTTTAAAAGTGAGATAAACAATATCCACTTCAGATAGTTCAAAGTTGGTGAGTCAAATTTAGAATAAGAAGGGTTTTCAATCACGGGCTTTATTTCATCTCCTATGTAAAAATGTAAATAACTTTTTTTGTAAAATTAGCATTTCTAGTATAATTGTATCTAGTTTTGATCTCTAATCCTTACGGTAAGAAAATTTCACTGTTTTTCTGTAGATACGCGGTGATGTTGAGCTGCTGGAAATATCAAATCGCCGTTCGGCCACATTTTGTAAACCTCTGCAAAACAATGGATACATATCTTAAAACGAAGGTTTTGCCGTACAGCATCTTATTCAGAAAATACCTTTTAAGTTTGTAAACTCTTACAGATGGTGAACTTTGATGGTTTGAAATTTTTTGACAGCTGAACTCTTATTCAACCAATCAGATTATTTGAACTATTCTAGTAGGAATTAGCATGTTTTGCGAGAGTATAGAACATACTTAAGACACTTTTGCTTCTTCGAATATTAAAATTTGTTTTGAAAATAGTGGGTAATGCGTTGGGAATTTGACAGATTATTTTTTTTTATAAAGCAAACGATAAAGAAGGAGTGATAAACAACACTCGACTATGTGCTTTAAAACAGACCAGAACACAGTCAAGGCTTGTTTATTCGATAATTAATGACGAATATGGAACAGATATTAAAGTGTATGAAAGCGATCCTCGCATTAATGAGCCCTACTTATGTAGTAGTGGAGATAAGGCCTGAAAAAAATTCAGGCTCTACGATACCGGTGCAATGCCCTACCAACTGAGCTAACAAGCCAAATGGGAGCTGGTAATTACGCTGGTTCGTCTTAAATCCATCAAAGGGATATAAATCAGTATTTTGAATATATGAAAATCATATATGCGTACTGCGGTTTCATGAAACGTATGAAAGCGATCCTCGCAGTAATAATTATTTCCACTACTACATAAGTAGGTTTCATTACGGCGAGGATCGTTTTAATTTCATACATTTCATGAAAACGCAGTACATATAAATGATTTTCACGTATTCAAAATTAATTGAGATGTTAAAGTGATATTTTAGTGAGTTTAGAAGACAGAGGTCGACCTTACCTGTTTTCGACTTTTTATCAATTCATGCACGTTAATCGGTGTCTGTCTTTGCAATCGATATCTAACCTTTATCAGATAATTCATATTTGGATTGTTCGTCGTTTCATTGTTGACACTCATCAACTCACTGATTATTCAACATACTAAATTCCTGATTGCCTTTTAATCCTTATCACAGACATATGTGGATATCGTGAACATGGACAAGTATGATCACGATAAGTATAAGTTTATCGATGATCGTGGAGCTGCTGCAAACCGAGAAGATGCAGCACCAGATGAGCAAGGAGCAGCTGCAGCTAAACCCGACCGTGAGGTGGGTGAACACGGTGCTACTGCGTATCCATTCGTGGCTGCAACAGAAGATGGTGCGAGAGCTTTCCCTCTCGCAATCAAAGTAGAAGAGGGTGGGGCAGCACACTCTTTTAAGAACGATGAAAAAGGTACTGATGCCTCAGAGTACCTTTTCGAGTGTGATACTTTACTATACCTCAGCGAGAGCGAGGGAGAAGATATCGATGGCTCTGATTGCCCTCTTGCGATCGAGGAAGAAGATATTGATCCTTTGCCATCTAATTTGGCGATGGACGATAATGGTCTTGGTCCTCTGGCAGGCCCCATTGTGACTGACGAGGAAAATCCTGATTGTTCAACATGCTTTCTTGTCATTGAGAAGGAAAATTCCAGCAATTTAGCATTCTCCTCTCTGACTGGAGAAGAAGGTTTGGAAGCCACAGCATGCCCTCCTGTAATTGAAACAGAAGATCCTAACTCTTTAGCACACCCCCATGCCACTGAGGTGAACAGACCTGATGCCTCACAATCTCATCCCGTAATCGGGGAAGAAGATGTCGATTCCTTAGAATACCCTTCCCTGATTGAAGCAGAAGGCCATATTGATTCCGCCTTCTCTCCAGAGGTCGAAGAAGGTACAACAAGCAAACCTGAAACTAATGCTGATGATCAAGGTGCTGCAGTAGTACAATCTGTAAAGGAGACAGGGGAAGAAGAACTTAAGACTTTCCAACTTAAGAATACTAAATATGAACAAGACTACTGTGGAAAACATATGGAGGACCAATGTGATGCAGTAGAACTTTATGATGAAGAGGTTGGTGTACAAGAGTATAATGATTACCAACTAACGGCTGTGGATACAGATGAAACCGGAAATGAGGAAGACGAGGAGACATCCGAAGGAACTCCTCTTGTGCAGGACTGAGGCATGAATGATACCAGAACTGCTTAACCTCCAATGTTGTAGTCTCATATCACTCAGTATTAATTTGTAGTTTTGATTTCGAGAACCTTAAGCTTACTTTTTTGTAGCTCCTGATTTTAAGGCGTAATGTTCATTTTACATTTGTAATGCTTCCTTAGCGATGATAATCATTTTTTAAGTTTATAAATGGAGGTTAAGTGGAAGTTTCCTTGAAAAAAAGCTTGCTTATTTACTTTACTTTTACACTACTTAGGTTAGCGTTTATTCACTTGTTGCACCCGTGAGTGCTTTTTTCCTTATCGACTGTAGGCTGATAGAGACAAAAAGATACAAAAAAAGGCATCGCTGTTAAGATTATTGTTATAGCTGATTAAGTCAGACATGCATGATAAATTTGTCAGTGTTTTTCTAAGTGTAAGTGATATTTCCTAATCTTTTTAAGTGCATTGTAGAGAAAGAAGATGCCATTTGTTTGTTCGTCTCTGTAAAGAACTTATAGTTACCGGCATGGACGACAAACTAATACATGTCGATATCTCTGAAGCCACCATCAATATTTACCTTGGTAAAAATAATTAACTTGTTCTAAATCACTCTTAAAACAATGCTTCAATAAACTTATATAAGCTAAACTCGTTTTGTTTACTCCAACGATTGCTACAAAGTTGCTGGTTCGGATCAGACAACCTTCAGGGGGAAAAAGGCAAACGTGCAGAAAAAGTCTTAAAGAATAGAAGAGACAAAAGGAGAAGAAGACTAAGGTGGGCAAATCTAATTGTATATTTTAAGGAAACCATAAACCTAAGTGTTAGAGGGTAAGAATTAAGAAAATCCAGTAGCACCGCGCTCGTTCTGATAATTGTATTTTCCTTTCCCAAGCTTACGCTCGCTTTGCAACCAGATGTAGCATATTTCCAAAGCAATTTTTAACTCACTTATTTTCGTATCATGTTTTTCGACACAACTACTGACTTACTTCTCTTTCGTAATCGAGTTGTCTATTCCAATTCGTTGATTAGATGGGTGGTATTGAGCTGATTAGTCTTCAATGCTATTTTACATTGACTGCTTCTTATGATAATAGCCTTAGCTATTACGCTTATCATTGTCTAAGGAGGTGTTTGAGAAGTTTGAAACATATATGACCACATGCCAATCTAATGATTCATTCTGCATATGTTAGCCAAAGAGAGCTATTCTAAGGATCAAGGCAGCTTTGTTTTCTGCTCTTTATCTCCTTTCGGCATCTCGGAAGCAAGTGTTTAAATGTTCTTGATAGCACAGGAGATTTCATCTATGATTACAAGGAGGCTGAGTACGTCCTACACTCCCAATCTGATCAGAATGGTGCATTGCTGTATCTTGTACAAGGAAGTTGTGGCTCTTTGCCATGCCCACTACACGTCTCCGGAAGATAGCTGGCATGCGCTGTGTGTACAAACGCTCGCTTAGGGGAGGTTTGACTCGATCCGAAACTAAGAGCATACATAACGCTGAGTACGGACTGAGGCTCCTTAACACGTAAAGGAAGTAATAAAGCATAGATAGCTGGAGTTCATAGTTTCGAGCCGAGAGGAATGTTTAGCGTAATAAAAAGACGCAGCAAAATCAAATTATTATTGCAGAGCATAGTCTTCCCCCCCCTCTTGTCTATTAAGCGTCGCTACCTCAGCATTTCACTAGAGGAACAAAACGATTAGTAAACGAACATGAATTATAGCTAGTAAGGGTTCTACTGCTATTTCATTTCTAAATCAAAGTAAACTGATATCATGTTCAAGTCCAGAGTGAGCGAAATTGCTTTTGTCTCTTTGTCCTGAAAAAACTCAATACTTACAGCAGCTATTCTTTCGTTACCAAATAGGTTTACCGTGATGAGTCTCGTTCTTTTAAATAAAATAGTTTTTTAGGAGTTTTTGACCGTTTCAACAGAAGAATTCCAATGCCGCCCGAAATAACCACCAACACCTCTTTTAAGAAAGTATCTTTAGTTTCTGTTCACCTGAGCCGTAGAGCCAAGACGTAAGCGAACAATTGAAGCACTTATCTTGTTAGTCTAATTAAGAGGGTTTTTTCACAGACCCACTGTTAGTGATGACGAGGGAAATCTCGCAGTTATCACATTTAGTCAGTACATCATTGGCCAAGAAAATTCACAATAGATATGATGTGTGTTAATAAAGACAGGACTGAGCCATTTCGCCTTAGGGGATGTTTTATTACCGAGCTATCTGCATAAATAATCTAGTCAATCACCGTCATTTTTTCTGATATTGTCTATATTTCAATCAATAAAGATCGGTCAGCCAAAGAGTTAAGCTCGTAAATTATATTGGGTGACCAGCTACTGTTTTTATTTTTAGGTTACATGATTTACAATAAACTGCAATCTAGTTAGGATAGAGTTTTTCTTTTCGTTGTTGTTGTGGGGATAACGAGGACAATCTCACAGTTATTACAATTAATCAGCAAATTGTGAGACAAGAAAATTCGCAACATAACTGACGTAGCTTTATAAAAGACAGAGCTGAGTCATAAATCCCTTGGGAATGTTTGGTTGTGATAATTCGAAGAAGATATACATGCAAATATATATAAATAAATAAATGACTACTTTTATAGCGCCTTATCCAAAAGCTCTAAGGCGCTTCACAATCAAGGTAAAAAATGAAATAATAATCAAACATAATCATTCATTAAAATAACGCTTTAAAAGATAAGTTTTAAGATTACGCTTAAGAGTTTCAAGATCTATACTATATTTTATGGTTTCAGGAATGTCATTCCACAGCTTAGTTGCAGAGACAGAAAAGGCGCGATCGCCATAAGATTTCAACTTGGAGCGAGGAATCACTAACAAGTTCTTACTCGATGATCGCAAAGACCTAGTAGGCTTATAAGTTTCTAACAAGTCAGTGATATAACCAGGGCATAAATTATTTAAAGCTTTTAAAAGTAAAAAGTGTTATATTTTATTGAAGTACCTCAGCAAGCAAAATTAAGCTCCTAAATACTCAAAATACCTCGATAAAACCGAGTTTCATTGAGAGTGCAAATCATTCCTACCTGAACAATAGTCAATGTTTGCAGAGACTTGACTTCTTTTTTATAGTTTTTATTTTTATGACTAAATTGGTTACAATTTTAAGCCAATAAAACTATATTCAAAGAGTTAGAAAGCACTGGACATCTTAAATATGACATTCGTTGTTCTCATGGATCTGTTACAACTTTAATTTCAACCAATAAAACATATTGTTTTAGCCTCTCTTTGGCTTTCTAATTTGATGGATTTGTGAA